TGGGTGTTAGAACCAATCTTCTTGTATTGAGTGTTATCTCAGCATGTTATAGTTTAATAATCTTAATTAAAAAAAAAAAATCTTCTGATCGTAATATCTTGCATTATTATTAGTTGTTTTAATGAGATTGATACTAGTGAGTTACTAAGAATTTTCTGTCAAACTGGACCATGTTGTCAGCTATTTATAGATCTTTTTTAGAGGCTATTAGTTGTTTTATATTCTTCTCGTACCTTTTCTCTTTTCTTAATAGCTTGCCGATTAGGATAAGTGTTAGATGTTTAAGCAACATGATTTTATTTCTTCAGGCTGTTGAGGTATCTGGCAATGAGTATGAACCTTCAGAACGAGACATACTATATGCCGAAGGGGTCACTCAAGGAAATGGATTGGCTTTCATAGAATTTTCTCTGGATGATCGAAGTCCGATGTCTGAAGCCTACACAGAAAATCTTGAAGCTCCACCCCCACCTCTAACCAAGTAAGGCTATTAGCAGTTCTGCGTGTGATCATATATGAAGCTCCCGGCTTGTCCTATTTAATATGGCATGTCTTGAGTTTACAACACTGTAGTAGGGTGCTCAATTGGGCTTGAACCTCTCTTTTCCTTATCTCATTGAGTGTTGAGTGGCACTATTGCCTTTGCCACCCACCCAAATACTCTCTCTCTCTCTCTCTCTCTCCCCCTCCCACCCTGCCCTTGCCCTGAATAATGGCAGCCATTCAAGTAAATACAATTATTCTCTCATCCGGATGTCCGCACGTTTTACCGTGCTGACATCATTGTAAACAAGGAGGAAAACAGGGAGGGGTAGTAGAAAATACATAGCGTCTGCACGGTAATAAAGTCCGCATGAGAAAATCTGCAAGTTTTTTTTTTTTTTGAAAAATAAAACTAAAACTAGGGTTAGGATTTAGCTGTATTTTGAGAATGTTAGTAGGTGGCTGCAACAGAAATTGTCAAAAAGAAAGGGCTAGGAAAAGTAGGCGTGTGGAGAAAATATTTGATATTTTGGTAGGATTGAACTTAGGATGAATATTCGAACTAACGAAAAGTTAGGGCTGCTCAAACCATCATTTTTCTCCTTACATGAAGATTTGAACTTGGGATTTCTACCCTCACTCCCGCCCATCACATGCCACTTGACCTAAAGCTCATGGCCTACCACCTAAATCCACCGATTCTCTTTTTATTGGTTACTGTGTACAATTATTGAAACTTAGTTAATGCAGTGACTCCATTACATCACTTATATAAGCTCAGATTTTTTTGCCTATTACCGATGTTTAATATACAATCTTAGTTTTATGAACTTTATGTATTGGATATCACAGATACCAACTCATAAGAGTAAATGCCAAGGGGATGAATGAAGGGTGCAAGTGGGTAGAAATGTTTGAAGATGTACGTGTGGTGGTGTTTTGTGTTGCTCTTAGTGATTATGATCAGATGTGGGTTGCCCCAGATAACAGTGGCAGCGGCGCGTTACTTCAAAATAAGATGATACAAAGCAAGGAGCTCTTTGAGACTATGGTCAGGCACCCTTGCTTTAAAGATACCCCTTTTGTATTAATCCTAAACAAGTATGATCTCTTTGAGGACAAGGTAAATCAGGCGCCTTTAAGTGCTTGCGAATGGTTCAATGATTTTAGTCCCGTGAAGCCCCATCACAATAACCAGTCACTGGCCCATCAAGCTTACTTCTATGTTGCAATGAAGTTCAAAGATCTTTATGCTTCCGTCACAGGTCGAAAGCTTTTTGTGTGGCAAGCTCGGGCAAGGGAACGAGTGACTATTGACGAGGCATTCAAGTACATAAGGGAGGTTCTTAAGTGGGATGAGGAGAAGGAGGAGACCTACTATGGTGGACCAGAGGATTCTTTTTACAGTACAGACATGAGTTCCTCACCATATGTGAGGCAGGAGTGATGTGGCTTAGGATCTTATTTGTACTTACTTTTTATTTAAAGTGAAGAGCGAGGGAAAATTGTAACATGCTCTGTGGTATTTTCATCCAAATAAAGTATATTTTATTTTTGTGATCATTTATAAATTACAATGACATTGAGCATGCATGGGGTTGTCTTTGGGTCTACAAATGCTTGTTTAAATTGTGGAATCTGGAACTATGCCCTGAAAGGTTTAAAGGGTAACCTCCCGTACCAATTTTAGCATCAATAATTTGCTCTTCTTTCTTTCTATTATTTAACGGAAAATATAGTTGGACAAGGATTCTACCACAAGCAACAAAAGAAAATTTATAGGGAGCTTCACTTTTATGGATTCGGATCCTTCTGCTTTGATTTTCTCTACTAGTATCTGCTTGGCTTTTAATTTAGACATGCCACCTCATTTTAAAAATATCCTATTATAAGAAAACATGCCACATAATTTCAAAAGAAAAAACCCTAGAGAATAAATGAAAAGGAAATGTCTCTTCGTTTTCTCGGCGCCATTATCAAATTTTTCTTCTCATCTCAATAACAATGGTCTTCTTTCTCATTTATTGTTATTATTTTACCCAAGAAACTAGCATCTATAGTTGGGTTTCATTGTTGTTATTTAACCACAATCAAAGAAACAAATTATTTCCAGCATTTGTACTTTCCATCGCCATGGAATCTTATATCGCATTAGACTGCAGTTACACATAAAGTTATTATATCTTTCATACTCGTAGTATTTGACTATGCCCTAATTGGATTCATGGATGTATATTGTTCATCGTTTTTAAGGATGGATATTGTTCTCTTTCAAAAAAAGGATGGATTGTCGGCGGTGGATACCCTTGGGTCTTACCTAAAAAAAAAAATGATGGAAGTTGTTCAATACCTCGTTGCCATTATAGTTTAGGTTCTTCAACTGTAGAGGTTATAGGGGAAGAAGAATTTGATTTTTTTGACCGTAAAATCTTTTCGGCCTAACACATGAATTATCTAAGATGAAATAATCAAAGGTCGGACTAAGCTGGTAACAAGGTCGTGCTTTTGGTGTGTGTTTAAGCAAAGGCGTGCCAACTATCACGGTCACTCCTGGCCATGATAGCGATGAGTTGGTGTGGTGGATGGATTGATTAATGGGAGATTCATTATTATACTCAATATAGGAGCAAAAATTATAAAAAAAATACCCTATATGAAATGGACTTTAGAAACACACCAAAAGTCCATTTACAATATAACAAAAAGACTTTTAACTTCTTTTAAATTACAAAACTGCCATTGATTTATTAACACAAACCCAACCCCAAAACCTCATAAAAAAGTTCAAAAGACTCAATAGGGCATCAAAGTAATTTAATAATCAAAATTAAATTCAATAGGGCTAGTTGTCATTTTTTGGGTTTTTTTTTATAGAAATTAAATGGTGTAGGGTTTTATTTATTTATATAGTTTTAGTGCTAAGAATGGGCATATGACTAAATATCTCTTTATTAATAGCGCCTTGGATCCTAACTTCGTGAAGCGATTATGGCCTAGGAACACATTCTCGACCGTTGAGTTTTAAAGTTGTTATTGTCGTATGTTCTAAGTCAAGTGCTTGTATGACTGCTGTGTTCGGTGAAGAGTTCGAATGTCAATTTGATCTCTCAAGTCCTCTTTGAATTATAAATTAAAACAAAGATTTAAAAGAGAAATTGAGGTGGTTTAGATGGTGCTCAAATGAAAACTCTAGTAACCAGAGTTGTTTGTTGATATATTTAAGGGTAAATATCAATTAACTACTACAAAGTTGTCCGTGCTTAAGAGTTCGATACAACAAGTTTTTTTTTGTCTCAGTCGCATCCGTAATGTTTAATCCCGTGCCAATTTCATACATTCGTTAGTCACACAGTCAGGACCTCTGTTAAAAGCTGATGTGGATCCATCCAGTGGGCCCCATACTTAACTATTCCCGTCAAAATGTTGATGTGGTCAGTTATCCGAGAAATTATACAGTAATACGGTACTACCACGTGGCAGTGCCAGGTGGTAGTACGGACCAACAGAATAATGACATCTGGCATAGCAGTTATTAGAGAGAGACAGCTTTTCATCCAGTACGAATGTTAACGCCGTTTACTCTCTTCCTCTTTTTCTTTATTTTTTTGTTTCTTTCAAAGCAAAAGTAACCCTAGAACGTGAATTGTCATTGGAGTCTGCACCAACATTCAGAAATTACTTTTGCAGTCGAAGGAAAAGACCACCAGCCGCCCCAAAAACCAAAGGACTATAGCCTCAGACAAAAATGGATAATGGTAAGTCAATCAAACAATCCTATGCTTTATACAGAATTTTTTTTTTCTACTTTCTGCATGCTGTTTCCGATTATTGCAGAATCCATTTTTTTTTTGTTGATTTCTGTAGGTTGTTCTTTTTAGTATTCTGATAAAGTGGAACTAGATTCACACATTTAGTTAGTTGCACATATATAGTGTAATTACTTTTTGTATGTCTATTTCCTTAACTTGGCTGCTTGCATAAATTAATTAATTTTTTTTCGAGTAGCACATAGATGTATTTGTTAATAAGTATTTTATCAACAATTATACTCTTAGTTTTTGTTTGTTTTGTTTTTAAAATAATGTTGTGGCGTGTGCAAGTAGTTATTGATATTGAAAGTGAAGAAGAAAATCCAATGATCGTCAATCGTATGGAAAGTTTCCAAGAAGATTTGCTTGGAAAAGTTGTGTCCACTGAAGAGGAAGCTTATAATCTCTACAATAGTTATGCTACGAGAACTGGATTTAGTGTTCGGACGGGACAAAAGAGATATAATACAAAAAAAGTTTTCACTGCTAAGATAAAATCTTCACAAAGAAGTGAGAGCACAAACAATGTTTTCCATCAGATGTCTACTAAGACAATGAGTCTTACTCAATTTGTGCATCACTATGATAAACAAGCAGAAAAAATGTGTTCAAGTGAATTAGAAGAATCTTTTCGTTGCAATCAAGGACTCCCTTCTAGAATTGCCAAAAGCAGTGGCCTTCTGAATCATGCTGCTACTGTCTACACAAGAAAAATATTCAAATTATTTGAAAAGGAGTTTGTAGATAGTCTGGGAGTGATGATGCATGAAGTTGGAAGTGGTGGTGCAATACACTCATTTGAACTTAATGACGAAGGTCATAAAAGATTCAGTCATGATTATATTTCTATAGCTTATGCCTACTTAGGAGTATTTGGTTAATGAAGCTATATGTAATGCAGGATTCACATTCTTATGGTTATGAGCAGCAACATACTCCACATAAGTAATGCTTCCTTATATTTTATAAGGTATTGCGTAAGAACAAATAGTTATAATTATTGTTTACTCAACATAAGTAATGCCTCCTTATATTTGAAGTTATCTAATTCTTTGACTCAACTTTATGTATAATTTTGGGTGCAGGTGCAAGAACTGTTTATGCTTGGAAATCTGGACTCATTTTGATTTAAACTCCAATGTACTTTATTATCATTATTTGTTATTGGTATTTTTTCTATGTATAACTTGCAATGAACTATTATAATCATATTTTTGTTCTACAATCACTGGAAGCAGAATTCTTTTTTCTTATTTTTACTAGTCTTTACAAAATTTCTCATTTAGATTTTAGTATAGTATGCCAAAAGCGTTCCAAAAAAAATACCCATCAAGCTTGTATGCCAAAAGAAGGTGGTAATAATATGCTGGGCCACTTTCACCAACGAGATGAAATGGTACAACACTGGAAAAAGAAAATAGAAGGGCAATCAATTACAAATTTAGTGAAGTGTTTACACAAACCTAATAACTTTTTGAAATGAATGAAATTTTCATTAACATAATTTCGTCAGTTCAAGGTACAAACAGGTTACAGATGACAACAAGTCTCAATTAAATTCTCTTCTCTCTGTGTCTCTTTGGTGCGACACAAGCACACACACATGCACACAGTGCACATCGAAATGGAGAAGAATTATTGCTGCCAATCAACACCAGCTACACCTTTTCACTCCACTAACGAGGGATTTCCAACAGTTTGCATCCCTAAAAAAATTAGAGAAACAAGCTCAATTAAGCAGTAATATGCTCAAATTGTCTGTAAGGTACAACAAAATAGCAAAACAACAGAGAAAGGGTTGCTATGGCTGCCTAAATTGTTTGTGTTTGAATAAACAGAACAATTACTCAAATCATATGAAAGAAACAAAAAATCTGTTAGGACATATACAATTAGCCAAATCGTTCCATTAACAACATACCCAAACCAAATTAACTTACTCATCACGCTGGAAACTGAGAAATAAAATCAACATGTATCAATTGCAATAAGGAAATGCAAGAAAAATAAAACCCCAATAGTGCCAAATCATTTTTCAATCTGCAGGTTATGCTATGAAAAACAAATCTAAATCAAACTCCTTCCATCTCACAAATCAAGACATTCCAAATAAAAATTGAAACAAAACCAAAACCCCAAAAGAGAAGCAAACCAAGCCAAACATACAAAACAAAAAATTGCAGTAAGATTCAAATTCGAAATTTTTTTGAAGAAACTTAAACCAAAAAGACTACCAGAAATAAATGAATACAGAGAGTCTAGTTGGAAAACTGGTGAGAAAATCTCACAAAATGGAAGGTAGCCTTACTTTTCAAACTTGGAGAAGAGGAGTTGTAGCCTGGGATGAGATCTCACATAAGTCTTCATCCAAAACAAAATCGAGGAATTAACAAGGAAAAAAAAGAGGAAATAGAGTGCAAAAATTGGACAAAAAGAAGAAAAGATCTGCAAAAATAGGGAAACAAAATCAATAGAGACCGTAAGAAAAAGAGGAGATCCATAGTTTTCTGGCTGAAAAAAAGGTGTTCTTTTTCTCTGAAAAGTGGCGCAGACTCCGATTACACCAGGGTTTATCTGTTCTTTGCTCTGAAAGAAACAAAAAAATAAAGAAAAAGAGGAAGAGAGTAAACGGCGTTAACATTCGTACTGGATGAAAAGCTGTCTCTCTCTAATAACTGCTATGCCAGATGTCATTATTCTGTTGGTCCGTACTACCACCTGGCACTACCACGTGGTAGTACCGTATCACTGTATAATGTCTCCAGTTATCCCCCCCTTTAGCTGCCGTGTAGCCTTACAAATTTATTAAAATTTCAACCAAAAAAAAAAAATCAAAAACCAACCCCAAAAAAAAAATCCCACTCGCTATAAACTATGAGGAAAAAGCCATGGCCATCCTATTTTTCCCAACCTAACCCTAAAAATTGATGAGAACATTCTTAGATACCATATCCAAAGAAAGAGAACATTGGTACTGCAGACGACCAAACCAACACGGCTCCACAACCATTATCTGAACTAATTCAAGAAGCTCAAACCAAAGGAACCACTACCAAGAATGCCAAGAAAGGTATCATATCATACTGTGGTTTAGGGTTTTAATAGGCTGGCACATAAAAAAGTATGCTCATTCAGGCTTCGTCGTCTTCAGTACAAATGTTATCTTTCTTTGGATATGGTATCTGAGAATGTTCTCCTCAATTTTTAGGGTTAGGTTACTGAGAATCAGCAAATCTCTTTAGTCACGTTTAAGTCAAGCCATAATTGTAGGATTTGCTCTTATGCAATCTTTCCATTATTCTGATTGTAATTAGTTGCAAGACTTTAGGCACAAGTTTAGTTAACTTACTTGTACAACTTTTCCTTTCTTGTATTTAAGATTTGTATCTACTTGCTAAAATATCAATGAAAACACAAGAGAAATTTCTCTGCAAGTTCTTCTCTTTTACCAATTTTAACATGGTATCAAAGCATCGATCTTCGATACTCTAAGCCTTATTCCATTCCCCTGCAACACTTACTTTGAAGATGACCGGCGTCAACAATACGTCTAGAGATATCAAAGGCAAATCATTATTTTGCACATACTGTGAAGGCAACCACTCCTTGGCACACAATGCGCAAGGTACTCCTTCCAAAAGTGGCGATTCATTCCATGGAATCCCTCAATTCACAACACATGAATACCATCAGATCAGGGCTACATTACGTAATGGTAAATTTCAGTTTTGTGAAAAAGTCATAGGTACATCCATTTCCAAATGTCATGTTGCTTCTTTTCATCAAGGTTCTAAGGATTAGATAATCGATAGTGGTGCCACTGACCACATAACATCATCACCTGATCTCTTGCATACATAAGCATCACATCCTTCTTATGTCGAGTTACCAAATGGGTCATGTGTTGATATAATTTCTACTGGTTCCTTGAAAATTAATTCTAACCTTGTTATTAAAGATGTCCTTTTTGTTCCCTCCTTCAATGTCAATTTGCTTTCAGTGAGTAAGATAACTCGTGACCTTCATTACACTGTCATTTTCCACCCAGGATTTTGTATTCTATAGGACCTAAAAACGAAGAAGGTGATTGGCCTGGGGAAGAAGCATAATGGCCTGTGTTGAAGCTCTTTTTGGGAGGGTCAACTTAGGTAAAGGAGCATTGGATCTTCAGTAGGGGGAGAAGGTTAAGGACCTTCGGCACCAAGGGATCCTGCAGAAGGAAACAAGGAAGAAGCAATAGTCAAGTTTCGGGCACAGGTGTGGTACCTGTCGAAGGCTCTCCGATGCTTAAGTCAGCTATATGTGGTAATTTTGACAGAGTAACAGTAAAGGTAAAAAAGTAGTTACCCCTTTTACTCGGGCACTATTCCATATTTATAGGGAAGTGAAAATGAGAGTTTTGCACAAAGTTTCGATGTGAGACTTTGTGCAAATTGTTGTGGAGGCGACACATGTCCATGGTTCTAGGTTCTGTAGTTGGAAGCTTTGGCAGGTGGTTACTGCTTTGAAAGGGGACCTTCTTTCAATAGGTGAAGAAGGTGATAATGCCACTCATCTTCTAAAGGTTTGTCTGTGTGTTTTTTTGGAGTGTTTCTTCCCTTTGGCAGCCGGCATGTGTCTACCCAGATACTAGTCATCTAATGTCGAATACACTTGGTTGATTAAGGTGTAAACAGTAGTCCCCCAAGTTGCCAATCAAAGAGTGGCTTCTGGGTTGGGAACTTGTAAAATGTTAAGTAATTAAATCGAGTGTTTTAGTACGATGGGTGCCATAGGCAGTCCCCTAGTCTCCCAAGTTCTGAGGCTAGAAGGCACGTTTGTTGGGAAGACGGTCTCAAAAGGGCGTTCTTGTGAAACCGGCACAGGGGGAGACAAAGGAAAACTGCTGATGAATATTTTGTTTTTGTTTTTGTGAACCATCTGTAGGTTCGGCACAATGGGTGCCGAAGTTAACGGGATGTCATGCAAAAGGGTGATGCCTGCGAGAGTCGGGTCTGTCTGCACATTTGGCATGGTTGGTGCTGAACGGAAGGCGTGATGTCAGCCTGTTCTAGCATGTCTGGTCATCACGCTTCGTCGCGTATCGCTTTGCACGTTCGGCAAGTAGGGTGCCGAATGGAAGGTGTGACTTTAGCATGCGATTCATATGAGTCCCAGTGCGCGTTCGTCATGGAGGGTGCGGAATGGCAGGGGTGATGTCATCACGCTTCGTTGCGCATCCCTTTGCACGTGCGGCACGTAGGGTGCCGAACGGAAGGTGTGACGTAAGCATGCGAGTCAGATGAGTACCCTTGCGCGTTCGGCACGGAGGGTGCCGAACAGCAAGAGTGACATCATCCCGGTTCGTAACGTATCCTTTTACACGTTCGGCACGTAGGGTGCCGAACGGAAGGTGTGATGTCATCATGCGAGTCGCATGAGTCCCCTTGCGCGTTCGACACGTATGGTGCCGAATAGAAGGTGTAACGTCAACACGTGGATCCCTTGCACGTTTGGCATGTAGGGTGTCGAACGGAAGGTGTGACATCATCACGCTTGTCGCGTGGATCCCTTGCACGTTCGGCACAGAGGGTGCCGAACGGAAGGCTTGACGTCATTATGCTTGTCACGTGGATCCCTTGCACATTTGGCATGTAGGGTGTCGAACGAAAGGTGTGACATCATTACGCTTGTCACGTGGATCCCTTGCACGTTCGGCACGGAGGGTGCCGAATGGAAGGTGTGTCGTCGCCATGCAATGCCACATGTTAGAAAAAATCGAAAGGTTTTTGTTGGAATCTAGCCGTCGTTCCTAGTGGGGTGGTTGGGAGGTAATGGCGACGGTTTGCATTCTGAGGCGTCCTTTGACATCTATATAAGGGGGTCGAAGGGGAGAAGTGAAGGTACTTAGAAGTTTTTCGAGCAATTTGGTAGAGGTGCATAGGTGATTTCTAGCGAAGTTTTCCGAGGCGGAGGCGATTTGTGACTAGGCGAGGGTGATTTTCGATAGTTGTGTGCGGTGGATATAACAAGGTACAACTTGTTTTTGTCCCTCTTTTTTGGATTGAAACGCGCCTTTCGTTGAATTTGTGCATGAACTCTTCGTTTTTCATATGAATTTGGATGAACTTGATGAACATTGTAGAACATGCCTAGGAAAATTGTTTTCAATCTTCGCATGCCCATTAGTTTCTGTATTTTGTGTTTGTAGATGTCTGATAATTCTAAAAGAAATAGCCAAAGTCCGACAAGTACCTATGCCTTCAGTGGGGAGGACTTGGAGAGTGATAAACATGACGAAGCCTTGGGTTCTGATGGGGAGAGTACCGAGTCTGAAGGTATGGTGGAGGGGTTGATAGTGGAGAAAAATAGGGCGGGGGAAGAAGAGCAATCAGTAAGCTCTGGGGGGAAGCTTACAAGGAGACGTAGAGGAACTACACTGCCCTAGAGGCTGTTGCCAACCGGGTCTTGGGTATGACTCAGGCATCTGAAGTTAGTTCAAGTGGGTAGGGGGAGCCATCTATGTTTGGTACGGTAGTGGTGGCTTCTGCTGGTGTGAATGTGCCCATAGGGGTTCCGCTGCCAAGGAGGAACAAGCTTAGTATCTATGAGTTGGAGCAGTTAAAGGGGGACTATATGATTCTAGACTGTGTGGGGTTAAGATTGCCAACGCCGACAGAGGTGGTGAGGTATCCACCCGAAGGCTGCGTGATGATGTTCTCAGCCATGGACAAGTATGGTATGAGGATGTCGTTGCATTCTTGGGTGCAGATGATGTGGGCGAGATTGGGCTATGCTCCTAGGCAGTACAACCCCAATTTTTGGATCATTTTACATGGGGTGTACATAGCTTGGTGGTTGGCCAAGCGAGGAGAGCCATCCTTCGAGCAGCTCATGCATCTTTATTCCGTCTCCAGGCACCAAGGCAACTTTTGCTGGGTGTAGGTTAATTGCCGAAAGGCGAAGGAGAGAGGGTATTTCATAGGGCAACCACCAACGTTGTAGAAGACATGGAGAAATCGGTGGTTCTTTGCCTTCAGTAACTGGGAGTGTTGCCCTGGGAAGACTATTAGCAAACACGTGCCTACCCAGTTTCAATCTGTAGGTCGTTGGTCATAACTTTGCTGTGTTGAACTTGCGTTTGTTGTATGTGCTTCGGTATGTGTTTTCATTTCTTCCGAAGGTTGTGAAACTGATAGCTTTGTTTTGTGCAGGTTCAGTGAAGTGCAGTTCGGTCTCGAAGGAGGAGGAGGAGGAGATAGAGCTGGTGAGAAATTTAGTCTCAGCAAAGAGACGGGCATCGAGGAATATAGTGACGCCAACTCTTCTCCAGGAATCGGGGCTGCTTCAAGGCAATAAGTTTTGTCTTTGTTGGGGTGTCCTCTTTTTGTTTTTGTTTTTTTGTTTCTGTATGCTGGACTAACTGCTGTTATGTTTTGTGGATGGTAGTGGAGGGTGTACCGAAGGGTGTGACGACGATAGAGGGGTCACCGAAGGTGGTGATAGTTGATGAAGAGAAGAAGCAACATAAGCTGAAGGAGATGAGAGAAAGGGACACGGCCAAGAGGGCCAAGAAGGCTGAGGGGAGACTGGTGAAGATTCCAACCAACACATCCGAGGAG